TATGTCATGCGCGTCTGTGTGAAGAGACCACCAAACAGACTTTGTGTGAGCCACGTGGCTGTTTATTTCATCTGGGTGCTGGCGGGCTGAGTCCGAAAAGACAGTCAGCAAAGGGAGATAAGGGTGGGGCCATTTTATAGGATTTAGGTAGGTAAAGGAAAATTACGGTCAAAGGGGGGTTGTTCTCTGGCGGGCAGGAGTGGGGGTCACAAGGTGCTCAGTGGGGGAGCTTTTTGAGCCAGGATGAGCCAAGAAAAGGAATTTCACAAGATAATATCATCGCTTAAGGCAAAGACCGGCCATTTTCACTTCTTTTGTGGTGGAATGTCATCGGTTAAGGCGAGGCAAGGCATTTACACTTCTTTTGTGATTCTTCAGTTGCTTCAGGCCATCTGGGCATATATGTGCAAGTCACAGGGGATGTGATGGCTTGGCTTGGGCTCAGAGGCCTGACAATGTATGAATGAAATGAGAGACAGCAACGCTCTAAGGCAGATGAGGAGGAATTAGGAATGTTTTGCTGATATTAGGTATTTGTACTTACTGTGAAGCTGTATAATTTTATTTGACACTGAACTTGAATTAGTTCTAAATGTATGTTGCAAACTCCAGGACAATTACTAAAAAAGAGGAAAATAGGCAAAATAGATAGCGAGGCTACATAAAATTAAATCATCTAAAATGGTCAATTAAAGCCATAGAAGATAAAAAAAAGAGTAGAAGACAAAAAGAAGAACAAAGAACACGCTCAACAAATGAAAAACCATAACTAATATAGTAGCACTAATCCAACGTATCAAACATAAATGCTACAAATCTTAGTTTTTATATCGTTGATAGAAGTGTTTTTTATTCTAAAATTAAGTGTCTAACATTCAATAAGACATCCCAACCATTTGCAATACAGGGATCTAAATATGAATAGTTGGATTCTCATTTGAATAGATTACTAAATTGCTATGTGATAGAAACATTTGAACACTGAACAGATAGTTGATCACATTAAGACAATACTTTAAAATTTTATTGTAAAATTGGTATTTTGTTTATGTTTAAAAATCCTTATAGAGATGCACACTGAAATACTTATGAATGAAATTACTGGAGCCTGGTATTTCAAAATTAGTTTCTTGGAAAGAGGAGAAGTAGGTGGAGAAATACATAAAAAGATATTCATGAATCAAATAATTATTGCAGATGGGTGGTGGTTATATTGGGATTCGTTACTGTTACTAGTACTTCTACATTTTAATATGTTTGAAAGTCTACTTAATAAAAATTTAAAAAATGCTTTTTGTAATATGTTTAAAAACCTACTTAATAAAAAGTGTTTTTAAAAGTTTTCAATGACTAAAACAATTGAGTAATCGTAATTAGGTTTTTGCGAATATATCATAAAATGACTGTAGATGAAATCCAGCAGATGATACTGCTAAGAATTTTTTTTCTCTAACAATAACGTTAAATATCTGAATTGTAATGACTGTTTATGAGGCCTTATTTATGTGCTGAAGTCCTAACCCCTAGTACCTCAGAATGTGACTGTATTTGGGGAGTTTTTAAATAGCTGGTAAAGTTAAGATGAAGAGTTTAGGGTGGGTCCTAATCCAATCTGACTGGTGTCCTTATAAGAAGGTTAAATTTAGAAAACAAATTAGAGAGACATCAGGGATGTACACACAGAAGAGAGACCAAGAGAGGACACAGAAATAAAGTGGCCTTCTGTAAGCCAAGGAGATAGGCCCCAGATGAAACCAAACCTGTCAGAGCTTTAATCTAGAACGTCTAACCCCCAGATCCTGAATAAATACATTTTTGTTAGTTAAGCTACCCAGTTAATGGTATTTTGTTGTGACAGCCCTAGAAAAATAATATTATTACTAAGATTTTAAAAACTTAAATGGTAGTAATTTTCAAATAAAATTCATTTTCATTAAAAAGATCCAAAAATCATCATTAACGATAACACCTACAAAAAATACAGCCAAATGAATTATATCAAAATTTTAAATTTCTGTGTCATGAAAAAAACCTTAAACAAATGTAGGAACAAATTACTGGATTTTGCACTATATTTAAATAGCAAAGAGTTAGCATTCTAACTACAAAAGAGATGCTTAAAGTCACCTACATTGCAAACAATAGTATTGAAATTAATTATGGTATAATCATAGAGGAAATATTATGGAAACATTCAAAATCACACATATGTATTATATATAATATTACATATCTATCATTTTTCTAACTTTTCCTATTTTATTATTTTTCTGGTCAGAATGAAGTTCTTTTGTTATGTTTTTGTTGTTGTTTTTTGTGTTTAACGATAACAGAAGTCAATTTTAATGTGTGCTTTATAAGCTGTTTACACTAAGGAGAAAACACAACAACTTGGACAGGTCAAATATTAACTAATCCATTTGATTATTTTTACTATCCAAGACTGAGGATTTTCTTTTTCCTTCCACTAACATTGCTAAATGTATATTTACAGACTTAAATGTAAAACTCAAAACTATAAAAACCCTAGAAGAAATTCTAGGCAATACCATTCAGGACATAGGCAAGGGCAAACATTTCATGAAGAAAACTCCAAAAGCAATAGCAACTAAAGCAAAAGTGACAAATGGGATCTAATTAAACTAAAGAACTTCTGCACAGCCGAAGAAACTATCATCAGAGTGAACAGACAACCTACAGAATGGGATAAAATCTTTGCACTCTATCCATCTGACAAAGGTCTAATATCCAGAGTCTACAAAGAACTTAAACAAATTCACAAGACATGAACAAACAACCTTATTAAAAAGTGGGCAAAGGACATGAACAGACACTTCTCAAAGGAAGACATTCATGCAGCCAAGAAACATATGGGCCCAAAAGCCCAACATCACTGATCATTAGAGAAATGCAAATCAAAATCACAACGAGATACCATCTCATGCCAGTCAGAATGGTGATTATTAAAAAGTCAAGAAACAACAGATGCTGCTGAGGTTAAGAGAAAAAGTAATGCTTAAACACTGTGATGGAAGTGTAAATACATTCAGTCATCGTGGAAGACAGTGTGGCAATTTATCAACGACCTAGAGACAGAAATACCATTTGACCCAGCAATCCCATTACTGGATATATATCCAAAGGAATAGAAATCATTCTATTATAAAGATACATGCATGTGTATGTTCACTGCAACACTATTCACAACAGCAGAGACATGGAATCAACCTGAATGCCCATCAATCATAGACCAGATAAAGAAAATGTGGTACATATATATACCATGGAATACTATTCAGCCATAAAAAAGGAATGTGATAATATCCTTTGCAGGGATATGGATGGAGCTGGAAGCCGTTATCTTCAGCAAACTAACACAGGGACAGAAAACCAAACACCGCATGTTCTCATAACTTATAAGCAGGAGCTGAACAATGAGAACACATGGACCCATGGTAGGGAACAACACACACTGGGGCCTGTTGAGGGTGGTGGGAGGAGGGAGAGCATAAGGAAGAATAGATAATGGATGCTGGGATCAATATCTAGGTGATGGGTTGATCTGTGCAGCAAACCACCATGACACATGTTTACCTATGTAACAAACCTGCACATCCCACAGAGGTACCCTGGAGTTTTAAATGAAAGTTGAAGAAAAATGGTTTTAAAACAAGAAAACAATACTAGTCCCCACCTCATGGCATTATTGTGGAGATTAATTCAAGTATGTAAAGCATTTTGCACAGAGTGTGTCCTAAGAGTGTTAAATAAATGTTAAACATGATGAGGAAAAAAAATAATAACTTTCCTAGATCATACACACTGCTGGTAAACAATAGTGGAACTATAATAATATCTGATTCAAAAGATATTTTATAATGACAAATAATTTAATATTAAGTAGTAGTTACTAAAGATAATCATATATAAATCAATTATTTCCTTCACAAAATGTCATCATAATGACTTTATTTATACTTCATTTATGGAGGAATGAAGTAAACACAAATCAAAGAATAATTACGTTGGAAGTTCTTTAAAGACATTTTATTTTGGAATCTTCTTAAGTCTCAAATAAACGGAAGGAGAAGCATATGGTTGGAAAGTTCAGGTTCCAAATTTGTACCCAGATGTAAGGTTAAAACAAAATAACTAAAGAAAACAACAATGCTAAGAAGTAAGTAAAACAAAAAACATAAACCTGGCGTTGATCAGATGATTCATCTCTATATAAAGAGGCTCCACCTCATCGCAAAGAGTGGTTTACTTTTACAAATACAGGTCTAAATGAAAACTTCTTAAACTTGCTCTGAAATATGTCTTTGCTTTCCCTATTATGATTGGATTATTTTTTGTATTACATGCTCAGGTTAAAGAAAATAAAGCATTTAATTCCTTATTTAGCAATATAATAATTGTTTTTTAGGATACACACACACATACACATATGCATTTACATATAACTCATTTTTCCTTAACACTATTTTCTCACAATTTCTCTTGTCCATGTCACCCAGAAACAACCCTTATCACCATTTTCTAGGACTTAACATATGATAGTGTCGATGTTTACTCATGCGTATACCAAAAACAATATGGTATTACCTTGATGCCTTTGTAGATGTTAAGTTTTTAAAATTGAAATGTATTAAATTATAAAATATTTATTATGCAACTTACTTTTCTTTCCTTTCTGTAATTATAAACAAAGATAGCCAGATACCAAAAGGGAAATCCTTTATAAAGATATGTAAAATATATGCAATATGACGGAATTATGACAAATTTGAAAAAAATGATGTGATTGTATATTACAGAGTATCAATGGAAATGAAAATATTTGATAACATGAAGACATTATTAAAAAGAATAGATGGGCCTTTGGTTGATCAACCACATTGAGAAGGAAATGGAGGAGGTATAATAGAAAGCAGAGTTTAAAATGACACCTATGTCATCAGTGTATGTCATTGATTAATTATCCATGCCACTTACAAGGTCAGGAATAGAGGAGGAGGTGTAGGTTAGAGAGAAGGCAGCTGTGCTTCTGCTACATGAAAAATCGGGCCATTGCTTGGTGTTCTGTGAGCACTCTGTAATTAGAAAAAATAAACAAATTCTACCTGAGCTTATTTAGAATTTGTCCCACTTCCTGTGCATGTATGCACGCACACACAGGCACACACACTCAAACCTCACTTCACAAAATAAAAAGAAAATACATAGGACATGGTGAAAAAAAATACACCAAAGAAGATACGTAAAAGCATAGTAACAATTTTGAGTGTGCCCGTGTAAGGATTAAATGTATTTCTCTCTCCACGAGAATAAGCATTTTCTATTCTGAGGGAGGCTGGGACAATCAGAAGATGAAAATTACAGTGTTAATTTTAAAGGTTGTTTCTTTCACCTCATCTCTCAGCATCCAAAATCATTAAATTATGTGTTAAATTAATTTGCATAAAATGGCTTTCAATAAAATACAATTGGTATAAACATTCTATCTGCCAAATCCAAAGATTGAACGGGACTTCCAAAATATATGTCATATCCAACAGTAGTTCACAAAAATGGCCATTCTCCTCTCATAGGGAGAAATCTGTCCCATAAAAATAGAGAAAATGTGTTTACTTTCCCGAAAAGTTATTTAAAGTTACTTTGAAGGAAAAAAAAAAATGCTTCCTAATTAGAATTTCAATGCTTTCAGTTTGAAATGAAGCAGTTCACAGCAACTTTCATATTGAAAGCTTTAGGAATTCCTAATTTATATACAGACAGCCGAGACAGGTTTGTCACACCATAGCTATCTCAGTGGAGTTCATGAGTTACAGTGCTGTCACTCCTGCTTTACTGGATTTTCAGAGTGCTACACCAGGTTACAGGAAAACTGTCATGTGCAAGAGATACGCTATTTGAACCAGAGGAGAGAAAGAAGAAAATAATCCATTCTGCTCTCATTCCAAAATTCTCTTTTTCCTCTGGTCATTTTTATGTCTAGCACTTAGTACCTAAAACCGATGGAAGATCAATAAATGAAAATTGAATTGACTATGATTGGGTTGAGTCAACTTATCTGGAGACAGAGAAAACCTATCACTCCACTTGACCCCAGAGCTTGTAGAACTTTTGCTGCACATGGATTGATGTGCTAAGGGAAGTTACATTCAGTGACACATTTTATAAGGCAGTAGGGTTCTAGAGTAAGAATGACATAGGTTTGAATCCCAGCTCCACCACTCTTAGGACCTTTAGCAAGTATTTCAGACTCTCTGAGCCTCACTGTTCTCACAAGTGTGAGAAAGAGGAAAGTTAATTTTCCAGGGCCTAGATTCTTTGCTTATAAAAACTCTTCTTGCTAAATATTTGGAGAAATTAGGGTACTCATTGAAATTGGCTTCAAATTGTTAAAACGCTACAACTATGGTGAAAGCTACAAAATCTGTCATTTTGAAAATGCAAAATTTGCTTTTGAGTATTGCATTAGGACAGCTTATCACTGTCACTGTATTAATTTTTAAATAATTGCTCCCAAGTTCAGAAACCAGGACCTGGAAAACTACAGGAAGAATGTGTATTCATCTTGACCTAATAATGAATAGAAATTCATGAAAAGGAATTGAACCAGGTTAGAAAAACTATCATACATATTCTAAGTAAGCTTAAACTTTGGAAAATGTAGCAATAGTAGTTTATGGCGTTATGGGACAGGCTGACAGGGTGCCATTGTCAGAGCATGTCAGAGGTGGAATGGAAAAGAGGACACTGGGGAACTCACCATTAGAGTGGATGAGCCAGGATTCTACTCCCATCCTGTGCTTTGTGATGGAATAAGGGTCTTCTCCAAAGGCACATATATCCGAGAGGAACGGTGGTGAACTGCCTCCACCTGGAGGGAGGATAATTACATCATCTCAGAAGAGACAGGTTATAGCTGAAGCCCAAGGGCCCCCAAATCAAATCTTTATCTTGTTCAAAATTTATCTGGCCTCTAATGTTATGCTGTTTTGTTTTCTTCAGGTCTTTAGGAAAATATCCTTAATATATAGCCAGCTATAAGCTCTGCTGTGGTTAGTACTTATCCTTGGGTCAAAGATGGAAAAGAGAGTAGACCACTTCTTGCCTCCTTTGCTGTCTCTATCCCCTTTGCTCTCACCTCAACAGGTAGTAACAGAGGAAAAGCTGAAGGTCCCAGAATAGCTTCTTATCAAAACATCATAGGGAGCCACTATGGAGAGATATGTACGTCATAAAGGGTTCTAACCCACAGGAGCCAGGAAATGACAGAGCGACACTCTATGCCATGGACTCATGAGGAAGAAGATGTGAAACGATCAGATGCTAAAGATGAGGGACCTTGATAATAAGAACCCCCAATTATACTGTGTATTTATTTGTCTCTCTAAAACTTCAAACTACATGCATTTCATAATTCATGTAATCAAATAATAATCAAAGTTATGCTTGCCAACACTTGCACATTCTTTACTGTAATTCCAAGCGAACGATTTCTTTTTGCCATTGTATCTGTATTTCTTCAAATGCAGAATGAGGGTGCTCAGACAGTGTCCGTGTTTGTTTGTTTGTTTTTGAGACGGAGTTGCGTTTTGTCGCCCAGGGTGGAGTGCAGTGGTACAATGTCGCCTCACTACAACCTCTGCTTCCCGGGTTCAAGCAATTCTTCTGCCTCAGCCTCTCGAGTAGCTGAGATTACAGGCATGCACCACCACATCCAGCTAATTTTTGTATTTTTGGTAGAGATGGGGTTTCACCATATTGGCCAGGCTGGTCTTGAACTCCTGACCTCGTGATCTGCCCGCCTTGGCCTCCCAAAGTGCTGGGACTGCAGATGTGAGCCACTGCGCCCTCCCTGGCAGTGTCCGTGTTTCTTAGTATCCCATTCTGGAATCATTAGGAGAATTCTGCTAAAAGTAACACAGACCCTGTTTACCAAAACTGTTCATTAGTTGTTTCCTCCCAAATAACCCTTCAAGTATTCCATATAAAACTAATCTGCCTTTTAATTTAAGAATTAGAACAAAAAAAGATAATGTGTTTTCCCCACACCTGCAATGTGACTTATGTAGTACTCAAACAATCCTTCTGGAATGTCATGTTACTATTTCAAATTTTTTAGAATTCTTATTTTTTCCGCGTTTACATACCTCATACAGAGTAAGGCAGATTTTGAACCAAGATTTGTTGGACTCTTTTTGATCTTGTTTGTATGCAAAAAGAGATCAATTTATTAGGTGACTCAAATATTCAAGGAAATTATAGAAATAGTCCTAGTTGTCATTTTTTCCATCCTCCAACTCACATGAAAATGTACCCTATTCTCCAGTTGGATAAACTACCTTAGTATAAGCAGGACTGAAGTTGATGTGACTGTCACTACTTCTGGGCCATGAACTGGCACCTGGTGATCTCATTTTCTAAAATATTTACCATCAGTTCGAAACTCCAAGAAAGATAATTACATAATATATTATTTGAGGAACACAAATTCGACCAAAATAAGATATCATCGCACACTTATTAGAATGATTAAAATTTAAAAATTTAACAATTCCAATTGTTGACTAGGATAAGGAACAAATTATGAATACCTCACATTGTGATTGTGGAAATGGAAAATACCACCCATCCAGGGGGAAAAAAGTATTAGGAGGGGTGCAGTGGCTCACATCTATAATCTCAGCATTTTGGGAAGCCGAGGCAGGAGGATCACTTGAGCCCAGCAGTTCCAAATCAGCCTGGGCAACATAGTGAGGCCCTGTGTCTACAAAGAATTAAAAAATCAGCTGGGCTTTGTGGTGTGTACCTGTGATTCCAGCTACTTGGGGGGCTGAATGGAGGATCACTTGGGCCCAGGAAGATGAAGCTGCAGTGAGCCATGATTGCGCCACTGCATTCCAACCCAGGTGACAGGGCAAGACTCTGTCTCAAAGAAAATGAAAACGTTTTAAAAAATCATTTTAAGTTTACATACACTTACTCTATATCCCAGTGATTCTACTTTGAGGTGCTCAAGAGATACATGCCTGCACAAAGATGTGTTCACAATTGTTCATATAAGTTTTATTTATAAAAGTAAAAAATTGTAAACAACTTGAATTTCCATCAGCAGATGAATGTATAAATTATGAGGTAGGAATATTACTCTTCAATAAAGATAAATTTATATAACAACAATATAAATCTTGAAAAAATTATGCCGAGAGAAAGATTCCAGATATAAAAAATAACCTACCATAGATATGGAAATTTATGGAATTTGAAATTGAATTTGAATTGAAATTGAATTTGGAATTCCATACCATTGATATGGAATTCTAGAGGAGAGAAATGTTACAATGACACAAAGCAAGTTTTTAATCTCCTGGGACTTGGAAGACAGAGTACTTCAAAGGGCCAGAAAAATTTTTCTGAAGCGATGAAAATATTCGACATCTTTTGTGTGATGGTGGTTACATTAAAAAGTACATTGACAAAAATATGTGCATTTTATTGTATGTGAATTTTATCTAGAAAGTGCATACAGTTGTCTGATTTTCAAAGAAATACCTGAACTTTTTGCAGAAAATTTTTGTACCATGTCTCAACCGTCATCTCTAACAAAGAATTAATAAACCCAAGGAATGTTACTTTAACGTGAAGGACTCATTTGTAATGGTGAAAACAATAACAACAACATTATACTTACATACAACTAATTCGGATAACTTGAAAACTTCTATAAAAATGTCATCTATAGTTTGTAGCTGATTTGGTCTCTCATATGTGTTGGAACTTGACATCAAGCATCAAGGTGTCATTTTAACCCCAGGTTTGTGTGTTTGCTATCCCTTAATTTGGCACCATGGCTGCATATAGCTAGTGATACAAAAAATAGTGATACGACAGTCAATCACTTAAAATGTAAACCCCTCCTCTACAGAGGAAATAAAACCTCAGTTAGAAATTCTTAAGTAGGTACACCTGAGTCTCTATTTTTATTGTTTATATATTTTCCAGGTGTTATATATCACTTAATATATTTAAAAATCACATACCTCTTAATCCTTAAGTCTGAGACTGGCCATTGTCTCCCAGAAGTTATGGAACTAGAGCTTCACGCTTAACAGGGAAAAAACTCATAAAATACACATTATGTGTATACATCTTTCAATGGCTGCCTGTTTCCAAATTTATTAGCTTAACATCTCAAAATTAAATTTTTAATGTGTAATCATTTAAACCCACCTTCATAATGGCTTTATCACTTGTGTTTGCTCCCAGGCCTGAGTTTCAACCAAAAAAACCCACTGTTGGTTCAATCTAACTATGTTTATTCTTCTACATCTTGGCTTTCATTCCAACTGCTTCGCAGCTCAATGAAGAAGTGTTAAAGAAATATGGAAGAATAATTGGACTTGATAGGAAACTTCTCTGATGAGACATCACAAATATCCAGTTTGTATTTCTATTATTTTCCAATTGTTTTTATCAGAAACTCTTGCAAGGATATAGGAAAATTGGCTCAGAAAAATCGTGTTCTTGCTGCTGCTTCACTAAAGTGTTTCATGCATCATGATATATTTGGTAGCTTGTGGGAGGATTTACTATGTCGCCAATGGGATATTACCACTTCTGAAGAGTTAAAAGACAAAAAGCAGAAATGAATGTAAATGTCTAGCACACAGTTAAATTCAAGCACGTGCACACTCATACACCACACACACACACACAGAGATCTGAGAGAGAAAAAAAGAGAGGAAATTCAAATTTGTGGTAAAATTCTTGTTTCTCATTTAGCAAAATGTATGTTTAAAGCTATTAGTATTAATACAATAGCAGCATAGTTTACAATGTATTGTGTTCTTAAGTATATGTGAAGATATTTAAGTATTTCCTGATTGACTATGATGTGCTTAATCTTCTTTATAAACCACTGTAAGACATGAAAATGCATTATTAAAAAGAGACACCTTTGTGGGGGAAGATAAACTTCTTTTAAGTTTAGATACTTTCTTAATTGATGATATTTTGTAAATGGAAGAAATGATTTAAGCCAATACCTAAAAACAGCCAAACCTTTTAAGTATTGAATTTATAGAGATCCATAAGCTGTCTAGATTGCAATCTTCAAAGAGCATGAAGTTAACTAGAAGCTTAAACCCATGATTGTTATCTATCACATTGTTACGGGTAAGGAGAAAACTTTCTAGTTCAACAGCATAAAATCAGTAATTTATATATCCATTGAATGAGCATTAATTGGATGAAAGTTTATTAAACATAAAATATTTATATATCACTGTTGTTAACAGCTGTAGTACTCACTCTTGGAATATTATCACAAAGATTACATTATAGACTGAAAGATGGCAGATACTACTGCTGTCCTGTTCATTGCTTTATTTCCATTCACTAGTGTATGGCCTGAGTACAGTAAATAATCAATCAACATTTCATGTGTGAAAAGAAATGAATTCAAAGTAAGGTTTATAGTTATATATATTCACAATCTTAACTTGTGATTCATCCATAAAGAGTTTTATTTTAAATTTTGTATACTTTATGGTAATTATTTTGTATTCCAGAAGGATATTTTAGTACAATAAGTTTTATGTCAACACAATTAATCCTTGTATTTGACAAATGAGATTTTCCCCCATAAACAAATTACCCACTGGGAAAAAGAAAAACAGAAAAAAAATGTTTAAAACAAATATACACTGTTTAAAGAATTCTAATAAGATGACTATCTGTATTCTCCACCATCTGCCTGAAACTCCATGTATGTCTCACCAGTTGCCTCTATTTTCCCACTATCTCTCTTCAGGGAACCTGTTTCCTATATTTTTTGTTAATTATTCCCTTGAATCTCTCTTTGACAATGTCACCTATATTGTATCCATAAATAATACATTGTTACACTTTGCTTGCTTTCCTTCTTTAACGGAATGAAATCATATCAGATTTTGAAATAAGATTTATCCATATTAATGCATATTATTGTAGTTTATTCATTATCATTGCTATATAAAATCTCCTTGTATAACTTTAATGAGTTTTATCCATTCTACTTTGATGAACCTATGCTTTCTGCCCAGGATTTATTCTATTATAAATTATATAGTAACTTTTCTAATAAGATGAAAGTATTTCTCAAATCTATATTCTGAGGAGTGGGATTGCTGACTCATTTGATATATCAATGTTCAACTTTATAGGAAACTGCATGACTGTTTTCTAAAGTGGTATAATTAATTTATATTACCCCAATAGAAAAGCATATTCCCGCTTCACATCATTGTAAATTCATGGTATCTAAGACTTGTACATTTTTTCAAATGTTGTATGTAAAGTGGAAATTCACTGGGGTTTTCATTTGTATCCCCAATAATTTGTTTGACTTTTAACTCCTACTGAAGTTTGTGCTCTGGATACTACACATTTTGGAACTTTATATTATATAAATATCCCAGTTAGTATTTTGTGCTATCATGTTTCTTCTGTCTTTCTGATGAGTAGAAATTCTTAATCTTTATGTAATAAAATCTACTGATCTCTCATTTCAGAGTTTTAATTTTATATTTTATAATTTTGTGGTTGTGCTTTACACATGTAAACTTTAAAGCAACATGGAATTGACTTTTGTATGTGACGTGAAGCAGGAATTCAATATGATTTCTTTCAAACTATGTTGACGGTGGCAGCAGCCCATCTGGAGCAGCTGCTGTAGGGGCACCAACTGCAGGGGTCGTGACATGGCCAGGGCTACTCACTCTGTGGAGATGGTGGGGACCAGGAACAGGTGGGAGCCCCAGCTTCTACTGAGTTGGCAAGGCAGGAGCCCACACTTCCGGGCGCAGCTGCAGCTTCCCAGCCATGGCTCTGGACCCGGGCATCTCTGTGCTATTGGGGGCTCAGGAAGCCCCCTGCCCCTGCAGCCTTGAAAGTGCCTGCCCTCACTCCCTGGCCTATCCCTGCTCCTGGTGCCTGCTCTGGGACAGACCAAAGTTGTGTTCAAGCCCAGGCACTGTCACAACATGGCCAGGTGTGTGCATGCTCAAGGCATGCTGACACTCCAGCACCCTTCCACCTCATCCTCCTCTTGAGTTTTGGTGCCCCCAGGAGCATGGTAGTGAGCCCAAGGTGGGGGGCTGAGGGCAGCTCAGCATGGACCTGCAGGAACCCCTTGGCACGAACAGGCTAAGCACCAGTGGAAGGCATGTTGACGGTGGCCGGAGGCAGACAGGCTCCTGGGTGGAAAGGGACGGGTCCTGGGTGAAACTCCACCTTGAATCCAGGGATGACCTGAAGGCTGGAGGCTGGGCTGCCAGTTCTGGGTGAAGTCTGCAGTTCCAAGTGAGAATTTAATTGATGAACATTTGGCCAATCAGTGGGTGCTTTTTCCAGGCCCACCAGTGGCCTCCCATGGACCAGTCAGCACATACTTTCTCCCTTCTAAGCCCATAAAAATCCTCAGGACTAAGGCAGACTCTGACAGGCATTGGGACAACCAGCTGCAGGAAGGAACTACCCACTTCCAGTCTCCTCAACTTACTGGGACAACCTGCCTGAGGAAAGGACCTACCCATTGCCAGTCTCCTGAGAGCTGTTCTGTCGCTCAGTGAAGCTCTTCTCTGCCTTGCCCACCCTCCAGTTGTCCATGTACCTCATTCTTCCTAGACATGGGACAAGAACTCGAGACCTGCCAAATGGAGGGACTGAAAGAGTTATAACATAAACCAGGCTGAAACACACTCCCCTGCTCCCCCTCTACCTCCACCACCCAGCTCTCCATGTTGCAGGTGACAAGAAGGAGAGAAGAGCTACGGCCCTTTGGGGACCCCAGACCTTGGGGCTTCCCAAGCCCAGACCTGGGGGCTTCCCAAGTCAGGGCCGTAACTCCCTCTTTAGGGTTTTGCAGTTTCTGACATCTCCAAGCTTCTGGTCGTTACTGCAGTCCCCAAATCCCGATGCTGGTGCCTGCAGCAGAAGCCACGTGCGGTGCATCTGGTCCAGCCACAGTCTTGCACAGAGCTGGTGCCTGTGCTGGCACCTGGAGCTGCCTGCCTCACTTCAGCACCTGGCACGCCTGGCTGTGTGCAGTGGTCAGATCCCACTCTCATTCACTCACACACCCTTCACCACTCCATGCCTGGCTCGCCCTTGGCAGGTGTGTGATCAAAGCCAGTAGTGTGGGCTGAGCACAGTCTGGATGGAGCCCAGTAGGCCTGAGCAAAACTCAGGCAAAGGCAGCACTGGCCACAGAAGTTTGTGGCTGGCAAAATGACATCTGAAAGATCCTGTGACAATGCGAGCATTCAAATGTCTTCGCACCACTGAATAGTTCTTGTTTGTTTGAGATAGAGTTCCACTCTGTTGCCAGGCTGGAACAGAGTGCAGTGGTGTGATCTCTGCAAGGTTCACTGCAACCTCCGCCTCCCAGATTCAAGTGATTCTCCTGCCTCAGCCTCCCAAGTAGCTAGGACTACAAGCGCGCACCACCACGCACAGGTAATTTTTGTATTTTTAGTAGAGACGGGGTTTCACCATGTTGGCCAGGCTGGTCTGGATCTCTTGACCTCGTGATCCGCCTGCCTCGGTCTCTCAAAGTGCTGGGATTACAGGTGTGAGCCACCATGCCTGGTCTGTTTCTGGATTCTCTCCCCTGTTACATAAATAGATTATCTCGGTAAGTTTATAATAACAATATTACTGCAATAATTTAAAAGAAAATGTTTAAAAAGAAAAGATTCTGACCAATGAAGCAAAAATTCTACTTGCACATAGAAAAAAAATCTAAAAGAAACTTAGTATATCTCTAATGAAGTTATTTATATTTTCTTTGTAATACATGTGCATACATATATAGACACACACATATATGTGCCTTTTAATGTGAACATATATGTTGCTATGCAATTTGCCTTTGTCCTTGGAAAGTATACCTTGACTTGTAGCCAGGAGATCGAGACCAGCCTGGCCAGCATGGCAAAACCCTGTCTCTACTAAAAATACAAAAATTAGCCTGGTGTGGTGGTGCATACCTGTGGTCCCTGCTACTCAGGAGGTTGAGGCATGAGAATCACTTGAACCCAGGAGGCAGAGACTGCAGTGAGCCGAGATGGTATAATTGCACTCCAGCCTGGGTAACAGAGCAAGACTTTGTCTCCAAAATAAAATAAAAGAAAATATACCTTGAAAAGCCTTCCATTTTACAACATATCATTTTTTTTTTGCATTTTTCTAAGCAGCTGTATATATATTTTACATAATTTATTCGACTATTCACTTGCTCATGGGCTTTTCACTATTTTAGCTTCAAGATCTCTTACAATTATGATACAATAGGCACCTTTATATATACCTCTTTGTGCATAAATTAATGGTTATCGAGGATAGATTCCTAAAAACAGAATGGCTAAATCAAAAGGTATATACATTTTAAAACTTCTAATAGAGAATTCTAAATTGAATTCTAAAAATATTTTAACAATTCCCACACTCACCCACAAACTATAATCTTCTGAATAACCTCCATTTTTCTCAGATTGGATATAATGAATCTTTTCCTTTGGGGTCCATTTTTACATTTATTACCAATATTCCCTATGTGTTGTAAATATGTATCCGTTTTCTACTATAGGTTGAGCATTCTTAATCAGAAACTCTGAAATCCAAAATGCTCTAAAATCTGAAACTGCACAAAATTATCTTTAAAATTGTATAAAATTACCATCAGGCAATGAAGCGTATAAATATAAATAAATTTTATGTTTAGACTTGGTCCCATCCTATGATATCTCATTATGTAGTACCTACAGATATTTTAAAATTCAAAGCACTTCTGGTCCGAAGCACTTCAGATAAGGGATGCTCAACCCGTATGAAGTTCGTAAATGTGTTTCTCTAATCTGCCACTTTGTCTAACGTTTGTTTGTCTTTTTTTTGTCAATTCCACTGTACATACTAGGTATGCAGGTCAGCAAGACCACCTTAGGTCAACAGGGAAAGAGAGATGCCAAATCAATAAAATATGTGTGGTGGGATCAAGCAAAGAGAAACAGAATATTTTATCTTTTCTGAGCAGTCTTAGAAGTTCTCTCCAAAGAACTGAATATTACTTTTTATTACCTGATATCTGAATATCAGAAAGACAGTTAAAAATGGAGAAGAAAGGTTTTCCAGGAAGGGAAACAATATATTGGAATCTCTAGTTAACACAGAATTTATGACATTTGGGAGAATCAAAGAATTTCAGAAAGGCTTCAGAAGCACTTCAAAGGAGAAGTGGAGAGAATTCTAACAGATCACCAGCTGTGAGATTATCATGTGGTGAAGAGAATTAGAGGTAAAGATGGTCAGGTGGGAAAGGTCATATGCAGAATTTTGTATTTTCTTTTCAAAGAAAATATGAAACCCTCAGAATGCGTAAGTGGATGCTATGATTATCAGATGTGATTTTGTTAGAGATCACCCTGGCAGCAGAGTGAAGAGAATAGATTAATAGAAAGCAAAATTGAATGCAAAGAGACCAATTATGAAGTTATTGTAGTAGCATAGTCACTCATAGTAGGAATAGAAAGAAGCAGATACATTTTAGAGACAGGTATGAGGTATAATTAACATGAATATATATGGAAAGTCTGACAGAGCTGGGGATTCGTGAAACTCCTATTTTTTTAATAAAGAAAATCCACACAGTGTACTGAGCTAGAGAATAATGATAGAGGTGTAGGTCTGAGGGAAAAGACGGTATTGAAGGCAACGGTAGTATCACTTGCCTGGTTTAGTCCATGGAAGTTAAGGGCAGCAGAGGGCCCATCAGTTTCTTCCAAAAAGAAATTTTTAGTAAAACTAATGAGAACAACTGGAGTATAGATGTTCGGTTCCAGGGATGTTATCTTTCTCAGGTTTTAACATCAAATAACTCAAGATCTTCTGCATTAGTTCATTTTCACACTGGTAATAAAGACATACCCAAGGCTGGGCAATTAACAAAAGAAATAGGTTTATTGGACTTACAGTTCCACGTGGCTGGGAAGGCCTCACAGTCATGATGGAAGGTGAAAGGCATGTCTCACACGGGGCAGACAAGAGAAGAGAGCTTCTGCAGGGAAATTCCATTTTTAAAACCGTCAGATCTCGTGAGACTCACTCACTATCATGAGAGCAGCACAGGAAAGACGTGGCCCCATAATTCAATCACATCCCACCAGGTTCCTCCCATGACATGAGGGAATTGTGGGAGTTATAATTCAAGATGAGGTTTGGGTGGGGACGTAGTCAAACCACATCATCTTCATAACTTTGTTAATATAGATGTAATTTCCAGAAATGCCAAATTCTCTGAAGGTTAGAGCCACAGTGATGGCTCGTTTTAGTTTTTAGTTCTTCCTGATTTTTTAAGTTATTATTCTATTCCAATATTTGTGATTTGTTTGAAAAGGGTCAACAATGGTGATATAGTTAGAAAAATGTGTGTTCCTCTTCATAAGGAAGAACATATTCTTTCACCTATTGGTTATTAAGTTGTACAAAGACCCAACTTAGCACAGGTTATTCAAGATAAAATGGCTTAAAGCCTCCATATCATTCTCCTCTGCTTCAGTTATTAGAGGACGCTTTTAATAACAGGTGTCCTGTAGAGCGTGGAGCTTTGATCATACAACTTCTGGGAGGGTGGGAAGCAATAACTAGCCTTGGGCCTAGGAGTTATTAAGTGGTAGTCATGTATTAATTTCAGATATATTAAATGCTATGTGACACCTGGAGAAAAATACGAACAACAGAATTAGAAACTGAGATGCACTGATTTAAAACTTCAAAATTGGGGGTTTCAGTTTCTCCTTTCTAGGGAAAGAGTACAAGGTGTGAGGTGATTGATTGTAGTAATAAACATTTTATGTATCACTTGTTATATTCACCTATGGTGCCAAGTTCACAGAGAGCAAACCAACAGCTTGCGGTCGAGATGACATTTTGACTACTGACAGCAAGTTCTGGCATCTATTACAGATCAAATCATGTATATATGTATACAGTATACATTATATTTTTGTACACAATTCCAAATTTCCCAAATTAGAGGGGCCTAAGAATTCCACCCTCCTTCCCTCCAAATTACAGAGGGATCTTTCTTAAGGTTCAGTTGACATGCTGGGCATTTTCATTACTTTATTTCTTTGTTACAGATTATGACTGACAAACAGTATAAAAATGTAGGCAAGGCCAGGCGTGGTGGCTCACGCTTGTAATCCCAACACTTTAGGAGGCTGAGGCAGGTGGATCATGAGGTCAAGAGATCGAGACCATCCTGGCCAACATGGTGAAACCTCGTTTCTGCTAAAAATACAAAAATTAGCTGGGTGTGGTGGTCCACACCTGTATTCCCAGCTACTCAGGAGGCTGAGGCACGAGAGTTGCTGGAACACGTGAGGCAGAGGTTGCAGTGAGTCGAGATCACACTACTACACTCCAGCCTGGTGACAGAGCAAGACTCTGCCTCAAGAAAAAAAAAAAAAAAGACAAAAATGCCAGTTATTTCTTTGAAACTCACATAATTACATAAATTACAATAATATTTCAGTAAAAAAGCTTTTGTTTTAATAAAGTTAATTGGATACATCCACTAGTTTAAAGTATTACCTAAATTGTTTTCTTAACCTAAGGACTGTTTACCATAGAAGGATATCTAGAAATGTATCTTATGCTCTGCAACTCCCAAATTCCTGAGATCTCAACTCCACCCAATGGTTTCCTCAAACATCTCCAAATATTCAGGGGAGTGCGAAGAAGCTCTAACATAGTCCTTTATACATTAAATCACAAGAGCTCAATGCTTCATTGACCCAAATCAATGCAAAACTTTTTGCTGCTTTGAAAGTATTCTTTTATGTCAAAAAACTATTCTATGTATCCAAGCACTAGCCTCATACTCTCTGGGGAAAGATGGTCTCAGTAATATTATAAGAAATATTAACATATGCACAAATTTCTGGGTCTCATCCAAATATTAGATTAATGATACAGAAACCTGCCTTTCCCTTCTTGTGCGGTAGAATTCTTGCCTATTTCTTCTTTCATTTTTGGAAAACTGTCATTATTATAGCTATGATTACACATTGTAGTAGAGCACTCAAAATGACAGGCGACCTTTTCCCCCTAAACCACTGTGTTCTTCTCTGTTTGCTTTTATTCAACTTTCTAGTAAAATCGATGCCATCAACCACTCTCTCCTTTTGACTTCCTCGAAGCCGCTGTCTCCTAATGTTTTTCATTCTCACTGGTCACTTCTCTACTTCCTTTGCTCGTTCCTCCATGCCTTTGTCTCTCACAGCATGAAGTGTCTCCTGGGAGCAATCCTGGCCTCTTTTTATCTTTCTCTCTGTGGTCAGTCTTAGTAGGCCTGAGCAAAACTCAGGCAAAGGCAGCACTGGCCACAGAAGTTTGTGGCTGGCAAAATGACATCTGAAAGATCCTGTGACAATGCGAGCATTCAAATGTCTTCGCACCACTGAATAGTTCTTGTTTGTTTGAGATAGAGTTCCACTCTGTTGCCAGGCTGGAACAGAGTGCAGTGGTGTGATCTCTGCAAGGTTCACTGCAACCTCCGCCTCCCAGATTCAAGTGATTCTCCTGCCTCAGCCTCCCAAGTAGCTAGGACTACAAGCGCGCACCACCACGCACAGGTAATTTTTGTATTTTTAGTAGAGACGGGGTTTCACCATGTTGGCCAGGCTGGTCTGGATCTCTTGACCTCGTGATCCGCCTGCCTCGGTCTCTCAAAGTGCTGGGATTACAGGTGTGAGCCACCATGCCTGGTCTGTTTCTGGATTCTCTCCCCTGTTACATAAATAGATTATCTCGGTAAGTTTATAATAACAATATTACTGCAATAATTTAAAAGAAAATGTTTAAAAAGAAAAGATTCTGACCAATGAAGCAAAAATTCTACTTGCACATAGAAAAAAAATCTAAAAGAAACTTAGTATATCTCTAATGAAGTTATTTATATTTTCTTTGTAATACATGTGCATACATATATAGACACACACATATATGTGCCTTTTAATGTGAACATATATGTTGCTATGCAATTTGCCTTTGTCCTTGGAAAGTATACCTTGACTTGTAGCCAGGAGATCGAGACCAGCCTGGCCAGCATGGCAAAACCCTGTCTCTACTAAAAATACAAAAATTAGCCTGGTGTGGTGGTGCATACCTGTGGTCCCTGCTACTCAGGAGGTTGAGGCATGAGAATCACTTGAACCCAGGAG